AAAATTCAGAGAGCATGAATGTAACATCCTGCGGTCTGGTTTGAAAAAATCAATGGCAAGAATACATGGTGGGTGAATTATGGCTAGATTTTTTTTATGCTAAAAAGAACTTTCGGTTTTAATGGCCTGTGAGTCACGGCAGCCAAGAAAGCTAATACAATTTTATGCTGAATCAGCTGGAGGACACTATACCCACTCCTGACCAGACATCTGGAACACTTTGCTCTGTCTGAAGGACTATATTTTAGGAAAAAATTGACTATCTTATGGCTAGGTTGATATGGATTGCTGTGAGAGTCAAAAGTAGGGATTATCTGTATTACAGAAGGACATGGAAGGTGGGATTGATTCCTACAGATCAGTCCTCAATCCCAAACAATGCATTTACAAGTATTGGACTTCTTCGTTTTCTGTTTGGCTGTGTTTCTTAAAACATAAACAAAAACCTCCTTTTCCCCCTAGAGCAAAGACCTCATTGTTACTGTTATTCAAGGCCCAGGATGAAGTCAGGAAAACCTCAGTTCAGCTCCTCACCTCAGGCATATTAGTTGTGTGACAACAGGCAAGTCCCTCAACCTTTCAGGCAACCATCAAATATGAAAGCACTGCAGAAAGAAGTTTTTCACATTGAGAATTTCCCAAATGGATGCATGATTTGCCTGGACCACAAAGTCCCTACATTTACTTCACAGAATCCCAAGGTACTTCCAAGACCATTCAAACCTGCCTGTATCTGAAAAAAGCATTCCCTCTGCCCCTCCTGACAAGTTCAGGGGCAAGGAACCTGCAGCCTCAAGGCCACATGTGGCCCTCTAGGTCCTCAAGTGCGGCCCTCTGACTGAATCCAAACTTCACAGAACAAGTCCCCTTAATAAAAGGATCTGTTCTGTAAAACTTGGACTCAGCCAAAAGGCCACGGCCAAGAACCTAGAAGGCCACAGGTTCCCCGCCTCTAGGTTAGATGGTCTCTGCCCCAAGACCTCCAGTGAGGAAGAGCCCACTACATGTGGAGGCAGCCCATTCATTCTACTTCTGGAGAGCGCTAATTACTAAGAAGCTTATAGCTATAATAAGCAGAAACTTGTGCATCTATCTATTGTTTCTAGGTATGTCCTCTGAGATCACGCAGAGCAAACCCTTTCTCTCTTCTTCTTGACAGTCCTTCAAACACCTGAGGACAGTTCTCCTACTCCCCCACTAATTCTTCTCAATTCCAGCCTAATCATCCTTTGTGTGATGTTCATACAGCATGTACTAGAGGCCTTTCATCATCTTAGCTACTTTCCTCTGGATGCCCTTCAGCTTATCAATATAAAAACGTGGTGTGTAGTCCTGAACAGGGTACCCCAAATGTGGTCTGACAAGAACACATCAGGACTATTATTACTGCCTTATTCCTGGAAACTACACATCTTTTAATACAATTAAAGGTTGCTTTCTTGGCTTCCATATCAAAGAACCATTACTAGTTCCTTGAGCTTGCAAGTCCACTAAAACCCACAGATCTTTTTCAAACAAATGTAGTCTACACACTCCTCTCCAATTGTGTACTTTAGAAGTTGATTTCTGAACCCAAATGTAATACTCTATTTACCACTGTTAAATTTCATCTTTCTGAGATGTTTCTGAACCTTGACTCTTTCATTCAGCATCACAGACATCCTCAAATCTGACAAGTACACCATCTATGATTTTATCCAAGTTATTGATAAAAATAATAAATATCACAGACCCTTGGGGAAACATACCAGAGACCTACAGGGCCAGGAAGCCTTAAACCATTAAAGATGACTCTCTGGACTTGGTCATTCAATCTGTACTGAATCAGACTAGATCATCTAGCCTATATTTTTCCACCTCTTCAACAGGCAGAGATTTTATGCCTGCTAATATCTCTGTAAACTTTATCTACAGTTTTCCCCTGATTTGCTAGTGCAAAAAATAGCCAAATACAGCGTTTTATTTGATCTTAGAGGTGATATGGATCCACTGGAGTTTAATGAACAGAAGGCGGGGTGACATGGCGGCCTATGCTTTAGGAAGACCAACTGGAGAGCTGAGCAGAGGACAGACTGCAACGGGAAGAGACTGGAGCCAAGAAGACCAAGCAGAAGCTATTGGAATAGTCCGGGTGTGAGGGGATAAGAGCATGCACCAGGGGAGTGGCAGCAAAGGAGAGAAGGGGGTGAGAATGAGGTTAATCTGGCATGACTTGCTTTTTCTAGATGTTCACTAATCAAGCCTTAAAAAAATATAACCTAGGGGCAGCTAGGTGGAGCAGTGGATAGAGCACTGGCCCTGGAGTCAGGAAGACCTGAGTTCAAATCCGGCCTTAGACACGTAACACTCACTAGCTCTGTGACTCTAAAAATTTACAGTCAAGGTCACTGGTATGGTTTGCCCACTCTAGTCTATTCCCTTTTTGATAATCAGTCCAGTATCTGAGGTACCTCCACCATCTTCCACAATCTTTCAAGGATCACTGACAATGAGTCAATTACATGCTAGGATTTCATTTCTCAGTGCCAGGAACTTGAATTGACCAAGGGCAGGGGGTTGGTACTAATTCCATATTTACCTTAGGTACTAAATTCTTTATGAACCATTTTTATTATTCCTTTTCAGTACAAAGGCCATTCTCCTTGGCAGAGAAAAACAGCAGACTCTTTCTGTTCCCCATAAGTGACAAGGCCCCTCCTTTCTTCCCCCCAGAGCCACATAAAAACCTCCACCACCTTTCTGTCATTCTTTACTTTTCTGTGACAACCTCAGCTCACTCTGACCTTCAGTACTGCTGACACCACTCTGCCAGGACTGGACCTCAGCTCTGTATTCATCCTCCATTACTTTTCTTCTGAGTATCACACAGTGAGAGTTATGGGAGCGTAGCCTCATGAATAAAGTGCCAGAGTCAGGAAGACTTGGGCTTAAATCCCACCACTAGGGATAATGAAGCCTCTGACATCATCACTCATTCAGTCAACAGCCATTTACTGAGCACCTACTAGGTACTACGCTTGGTGTTAAGTGCTAGGGATACAAATACAGGCAAAAACAGTCGCTGCTCTCCAGGAGCTCACAGTCTAATGGGAGGAGACAGTATGATAACAACTAGGCAAAAATAAGACATATAAAGAATAAACTGAAAATAATCAACAGAGGAAAGGCACATTAACAGCACCTTTTTATAGAAAGTGGGTTTTCAGCTGAAACATGAAGGAAGCGAGGGAAGCCAGGAGGTAGAAACAGGAAAAGAGAGAGTTTCAGGCACAGGGCACTATCAGTAAAAATGCATGGAGTCAGGAAATGGAGTGTCTTGATCATGGAACAGCAAGAAGGCCTGTGTCACTGAATCACAAAGTACATGGGAGGAGGGAGGCATAAAAATATCAGAAAAGCGGGAAGGAACCAGGTCATGAAAGGCATCGCGTGCCAAACAGAGGATTTTATTTGATCTTAGAGCTGATATGGATCTATTAGAATTTAATGAATAGGAAGCTGGGTGACACAGTGGCCTATGCTTTAGGAAGATCGACTGGAGAACTGAGCAGAGGACAGACTGCAGTGGGAAGAGACTGGAGCCAGGAAGACCAACCAGAGGCTATTGGAATAGTCCGGGTGTGAGGGGATAAGAGCATGCACCAGGGGAGTGGCAGCATCAAAGGAGAGAAAGGGGCAAATTTGAGAGAGACTACGAAAGTAAAATGATGAAAGAAAGGGGAGAGTCAAGGATGACAAGTAGGTTGCAAGCCTGGGTAACTGAGAAGATAGGCAAGTGGTGCCTTGACAATAATAGAAAAGATGGAAAAAGGGAAGAGTCTGGAGGAAAAGGTAACTCCATTTTGGACATGTTGAGTATAAGAGGTCCATAGGCCCTACAGTGTGAAATGTCCAAGAGGCAGGAGAAGATATCTCTCTGGAGGTTAAGAGAGAGGTTAGTTTCACATACCTCCGTATTCCTATGAGACAGCAACAAAGAAGGTTGTGAATGCCTCAAGTGATCACGATCTCCTCTCCTCCTGTAGAATACACTCTTGGTTCTACTTCTTGGTCCACTTGGACCAGTCAGAGGAACCTATATGCACCTGTTATCCTTCCTTATCATTTCTGGAGGAAGTTTGGGGCATTCTTCCCCAAAGCAGCATAGTTTAGCTCTTTGGGGCTAACAAACCACTCTGGTTACCTTTTTAACTTTCCCAGAAGAGGAACTATGGCACATTATGCAGAATGAGCACATGTAAGAAATTTTAAAAAAAAAACAAACCCATCACTGTCATGATCACACTGGGTAGTGTTTTTTTGGTCAAAATGTGGCATAACTATAAAACAATATGGCTACCCTGTACGACTTACAAACAGATTCTGACAGTGGTAACAAAAACATTTAAAGCAATGGCAAGACTGCTACAGCCATGACATTATTTCCCTTCCTGACCTCGTCAGTCTGGCCAAATTGCCCTTCTTGCTTTTCTTTTCCCAGGACGCCACTTCCCATCTCTCATCTCCATGCCCTGCATCGGCTGCCTGCCCTTTGCTTAGAATGTACCCTCTGTTCACCTCGGCCTGTTAGAATGCTTTGCTTCCTTTAAGACTCTGGTCAAGTGCTACCTTCTACACAAGGCCTTTCCTGACCTAAATGGGAGCTCCTCAAAGGCTCTCAGCATTACATCAAGCCCCTCTCTGCTTCTCTGAAGGTGAATCTTCTCAGGTTCATCTCATACAGTGTCCAGCACACAGCAGTCACCTAATAAACGATTGCTGACTGACTGATGGCCTCCAAGTGATTACTCTAAAGTAGAATCTTCACTTGGATATGAACATCTTGAAAGCTCGCTAACAACAATCTTAACACTTTATAATCACATGGAGTTAGCAATTTCTCAAGATCATCATCAATACCATTAGCAACCAATTGTTCCCAATCACTCCCAAACAATGGGGGTTTTTGGCTCCTCTTCCTGTAATAAATAAGAAAAAAGACTATCTTTTTGCTCACTTACTTTCAGTCTGTCGAGCTCCTGGAGGTCTTTGTTAACAGAGGAGGATGTGGCTGTGCCGAGTGCTTGGGAAGACGCATTCCCTTCACATTCACTGAGCTGTCTGGAGAGTTTCATGATCACTTCATCTTTGGCTTGGATGGTCTCTACTAACATACCCAGCTGTTCATTGAGCTCGCCCACTTTGCACTTCAAGTTCTTGACTTCCTGCTGGAGACTGTCTTTCTCCAGACTGAACTTTTCCAGCTGGCTGCTGAGGCCTAAGATCTGATCATCCTTTTGGTGCAGAAGCTCAAGTTTCTCTTTTGGGACTCCATCACAAAGATGGCTGCCAGTGAAATACTTATCATACTGCGATGACCTGACCGTCTGCTGCAAAAGTCGTACGAGTTCCTGAGGAGAAGAAAGGGGGTGAGGAGAATAACAGAGGTGCACTGAATTATTCAAATCTAAAACGAAGATAAACAAAAATAACAGCAACTCTCCACAAAGCAATTAACAGCTGTTGAGAAAACGTAGCAACTTTACTAACATTAAAACCCAGAATTTCTCCTTGATGGACTTTTTTTAAAAAGTACTTACTTTTGAAGGAAAGCAATTAGGAAACAAGAAATCATAATGCATACACCACTAAATGAATAATAGTGCTGTAGGAATATTTATGTAAGCATTAAATTCATCTTAGAATTTGAGACATTTTTAGCACCTGAATTATTCAAGTACACGTAAGAGTATAAAATAATTTTGTTTCCTGCATGGCTCAGAAATTAATCTTGTTATCTGGCTTGTAACTGAATCATCATTAATTTCGATGACCAACAAAAACTGGAAGATTTCTGAAACCTGTTGAGAGTAATAATCAGGTTTCTGAATGAAGACCCAGGTGGAAACAGGAAGACATTCCCCTTAAAAAACGGCTCAACTTCAGCAAAAATTCCAGGTATCTTGAGCTGACATTACTGAGAACATTTGTGACTGCAACACTGGCCAGGGGCCCTGAAAACTTTAAAATACAATCACTCTCTGGGATTAAAAAGTCTGAAACATTCAGATGAACTATGAAAGCTCTCCACCCCTTCTGCTCCTCTGCCTACCACGAGGTTCATTACCTTCTGGCTGGAGAGCTCCTTCTTCAGTCTTTCCAGTTCTTCCTGCTGGTTCTGAAGCTTCAGGTGCACTTCAGAAGCCGATTTACTGCCATTGCCTGAAGTCCATTCAACGGGAGCATCACCACTGCTATGTCGGTTTTTGTGTGACCCAATCATCTCTCTCAAAGGTCGCTTTCCTTTATAGGGAATACGGCCAAAATCAAAGGGGAATGCGGAGCCAGTCACTCCTATGCAAAAACAAAACCATTTGTCTAGCCCACATCTGCAGCCTCCAAACTGCCTTTCAGAACCGCACTGGGGGGAGGGGCCCTTCTGTCAGTCTCTGACAGCCCCAATTGTGCCAGCACCTCACACAGGCAGGAAACCCTCTCTGTATTTGGGGTTCTTCCTTGGTTTCACCATCCAGAGAGCCCTGGCCTCACTGTTGAGGGCAATGCATCCCTGGGCGAACGCCACGCGCTGCCCATCCCCGGGCCTCGGGCTGGCAGTTTTCACTCACTGCGATGACCAAAACAATTCGTCACCTAGCAGTTCATTCTGCAAGATGAAATCAATTTGGAAACTCTGACCTACTCCGCGCCCCCTGGACCTGGGCCCCCCCCAACCCCCACATCCCTCTGGCTGGAGTGGGTGGGAGGTGGCCATGAGGGAAGCTCCTCCCAGAGCCTCCACTATACAAGGATGGTGCCCAGGGAGCCCTCATCATTTCCCACTCAGCTGCTTTCCTGGACTTTATCATCTTTAGAAACTCATCATTCCACAAGATGAAGTCAACTCAGAAACTTGAACCTCCTCGGATTTTCCCCCTGAGGCTACAGGACTTCACTGTGCCCTGTACCAGTGACCTACCTTCCACCTCCACTTTTTGGGTTCTTTTTATGTGTTGTCTCCCCAGCAGACTGTGAGGTCCTTGAGGGCAGGCACTGTCCTAATGCACTTCCTTGTATTCTCACACTTAGCTCAGCACCAGGTATGCAGTAGGCGCTCCTCCAATGTTTGTGGCCTCTGACTCTGGATCGTCCCTGGGTGAGGAGCTTCTCTGCACTAGGCTCTCGGTCCTCATCCTACACACCCACTTGGCAGAACCTGCCAAAGCTTGTGCTCAGATGGCATGGGCTTCCAGAGCCCAGGAACAGTGCCCTAGTCATCTCAGAGACTATCAATGCCAATCAGCACTGGAGGGCTGGAACTTTGTTCAGTGAGAAGTAGCACATGTTAATGTTCCTGTTTCTTTACTAGAGGAGGCTGAAAACCTGGACTCTAATCCCATTTGCTCCTTAAATTAAGCTCCTGTCAACCTTAACCCTTCCCGTTCCAGAGCCTGTGAATTTTCTGCTTCAGTAAAGATCTGGGAGGAGCCCAAAGGTGTTTTCCATCTCTACCACTTCAACAAACGCACTCCTAAAACTCCTTCAGAACACAGCAGGTCTCTACATCAAGGTAAATGTAGCCATGTCCACATACACACTTAAGAGCACAAAAAGGTGTTGATAACAAGCTGCTGGGTAGGTGAGGGCTCCCATTTCCAGGGGCCTTTACAGAGGTGGGCAGCGCTGCCTCCAGCATTCTGATTTTATAGAATCAAGCAGGGGCAGAGAGGTAAATGTCAAGCCACTAGAGAAGGGCAGAGCTGGGACAGCACCTATTGCTCTTGACCACAGAATACTGCCATATACAGGTACTCCCAGGAAAGCTGCAGGAACCAAACCGATGAGGCCAAAAGATCCTTTGAGTTTCTGTGGCTCTCTCTACAGCAGGCTCCATTTTATAAAGCAATGCATACGGAGGAAAACAAAGTTACTCCTCAATAAAAACTATGTAGCCATCTCATTTTGCTTTCTAAGGTGTTGGAGCCATTGACAGGTTCTGTTACACTGAATTGGGCTCCGTTTCTGTTTTTTAACTTTTCTCCTGCTCGTGTCATCAATAGGCATTTAAGTACCTACTATGTGTCAGAGCCTGCTAGGGGCTGGGGACACAGACATGAAAAAAGACAGAGCCTACCCTCAAGCAGCTTACACTCTATGAGGGGCAAAGGAGAGACAATATAAACACATATAAGTGAGCACAAAATACACAAAGTAGTTTTTGAGGGGCACAGCTACAGAACCTGGGAGCAATAAGGCCAGGCCTCAGGTTGGAGGTGGCTCTAGAAAGAGCGTAAGAGGTAGAAGAAAGAAGGAGGGACGGCCTTTGCCAAGGCAGAAACAAAGGAGCCAGGAGGCTGTGTAAGCAGCTGTTCTGGCTGGAAGCAGCAGATGCACACTGGGAAGGAGAGTGAAGTGGGAGCCGCTGGAGAGCTCTGGGCAGGTGAGCGACCGAGACCCCGGAGCCTGAGGCACAGTATGCATCTTCTATCCTTCTTTGGTCCTCCTAGTGCCCCACACTGCCTTGCACATGGCACAGAGCTGTATGTTTACCTTTGTTTCCCTCTGAGCTTTGCTTCTTCATTTGCTCGTGAACCACTGACTCCTCTAAATCCTTTGGATTGGGGTCGATAAATTCCCACTCTTCGTTGGTATAAAACACACTCTTCCGGCTGTCATTATTTCCTCTCCCAGGTCGAAATGAAGACATTGAATTTCTGTAAAAATAGGAGAAAACTGCTATTTCAAACATTTTACTATGTAAAAGAAAGCATAATCACTTGTGATTTCCAATTTTGATAAGTGATCTGAAAGAAGCTGGTGTCATTTTGTGAAAAGAGAAAGAGAGACAGAAAGGGCAGAGAGGGAAGGAGAGGGCAGGGGAAGGGAAAGAGAAGAGAGAGGAAGAAGAGGAGGACAGGACTATATCGTAACAGATGGGAAATAACTAATTACATGGAAGTCTGCAATGAGATGCTGGTTGACAAGCTGACCATCATCTTATTAGAGCTAAAGTCAAAATCAACATCAAATTAGAAGAAAGGATAAAGATGTGAAGATGATACCCTATACCTTTCAACATCTCCAACCTGACCTAACGGAGCAAGCCACAAAAAAATGTGAGAAAATGGGAAAAGGCAAAGATATTGATCTCTTATTACCATTTTATTTAGAAGTTTCATAGCTAGCAGGAAGGAAGAGTTTCAAAGAAGTCAGAAACTCACTTGTAGAATATTACAGGAGATGGCAGATGATTACAAGCAGTTAATCCAAAGCAAGCATGTACATAGCTCAGTGTGAGATCCAATGAAGAGCATTCAGAAGGAAAAATTACAGATGAAATAAATGAAAAATGGAAGAAAATAACAAGCATTTTTATGTGGAACCACCACTTTTGGACTCCACCACCTCCGTTCCCAAATGTCTGCATGAGGAAAAAGTGTCCTGAAGTTGCCCATATGGAGAACAGTATGGGGCAGCTAGGCCCATGCTAAATAGAGGAGGAAAATGTACTCCAGGAGATCCAGAGAGGAAAAGACACCAATGGAATTGAACAGAACTGAAGAAAAAGAAAAAGCAGTTAGATTACTACCTCCAAAAAAAGGCAACTGAAATGACAACAATAACGACCAACTTAGAGACCTTCAGCTCTTTATGAGGATGCGCTATACAGAGAGAGGCTTTTGTTGATGACAACGTGAGAACTGAACAGGAGGGCTCTCACTTATTGTGAGTTTCTGTAGCAGATCACATCTTTACAATCATTCAACTGATAGGAAAGCACAGTGACTACAATGACCAGTTTTATCTGTTAACTACATACAGGCATTTGACACAGTATCACAAAATGTGGCTGTACAAGTTCTTCTCCAAAGAAGAGGTCCTTCTCACTCACACATTAAGACAGCACAGAATTCTTGGAGAACTGCAAGTGCAAAGATAATTCTGTTCAACAATGCCCTGCTTATTAATGTACATTTAGTATATGTTGTCTGTCTTTGTATCCCTAGTACCTAGCACAGTGCCTGGAACACAGAAGGCACTTAATTAACATTTGTTAACTGACTGAAGGCATAAAAATAGAGAAGCTCAAAGACATTTGCCAGAGTCATGGAGGATGACTTATGTAGGGTCCAAATAGAAGAGGGATTCTTATGGATGGTGAAATCCTCCAGATTTTCAAATGGCATTAAGACCTAGAACACAGCAGGATCTCTTCAGTGAGGATCATTATCATTAATAAAGATCAGTCTGAAAATTCATTTAAAAAATCAAGGATGAAGAATGTCTATTGTCTAGGACATAAGAGTTGCATGGCCAATCCAATTGAGTTAGTATAACAGTATCTCTTCACAAACGACAGGCACTACAGAGTGACAATCTGCTAAACACAGAAGTAAATATGAACTTTGGACAGGAAACTGAACAAAACTGGCTAACACAGAGTTGATTATCCAACATGAGTAAATAGACAGTAAGAGAACAGCAAGACGTCCTTGATGAATTCAAGTCAACAGGTATAAACTAACTATATTACCAATAGTCTTTGAAAGATCAGATGAACGACAGAATTACAAGACTGAAAGGGGGCAAATATCTTGGCGTGTCATGCCTTCCTCCTCCCCAAGCAGAAAAGATAAGCTGCAAACTCTTTCAGTCATTTTTAGCTGTGCCTGATTCTTTGTGACCCCATTTGAGGTTTTCTGGGCAAAGATACTGGAGTTGTTTGCCATTTCTTTCTCCAGCCCATTTTACAGATGAGAAAACTGAAGCAGACAGGGTTAAATGACTTGCCCAGGTCTGAACTCAGGAAGTTGAGTCCAGGCCCAGCACTCTTATTCACTGAGCCACCTAGCTGCCCCACTGCAAACTCTAGGTCAGTGAATCTGACTTTTGATTCTAGTCAAAATTCTAGAATTTATTATTAAAGAGATGGCTAGTGAACAGCTAGAAAAGAAAATGGGTATCGCAAAGAATAAGCATGGCTTCGTCAAGACCAAGTCAAGCCAGATAAACTTTCCTTCCCTTTTCAGACAGGGTTAAACTGACAGAACACGGGAATGCTGCAGTATACTGATTTTCATCAAAGCATGACAAAGTTATTTCATGCTCTTCTTATGGAAAAGATGGATACATGTGGAATAGATGAAAGAAGTCACTGAATGGCTGTACTCACAGTAATTAATGGTTTGCTGTCAACTTGGAAGATGGTCTCTAATGGAATGCCTCGACATTCTGTTCTCAGCCCTACACTGCTTACCATTTTTATTCAATGACTTGGATGAAGGCAAAGATAATGTCCTTATCACATCTGCAGAGGACTCCAAATGAGAAAGGATACCTAAAATAATGGGTCCAAAAAAGATCCTGATAGGCTAGAAAACTGGCCTGAATCTGAGATAAAACTTAATTGGGGTAATTAAAAATTTATATTTTGGTTTTTAAAAAAATCAGTTTCACAAGTATCAGGTAGAGGAGGCATGACTGGACTTCAGTTTGTTTGAAAAAGATTTGGGGGGTCTTACTGGAGTTCACACACAAAATAACTCTGCTCCGTGAAAAAACCAGTGTGATACTGGGATGCATTAAGAGAGGCTTAGCTTCCAAGAGTAAAGAGATCATAGTCCCCCTGTCTTCTGTCCTGTGGGAACTGCAACTGAAGGATTATGTTCAGTTCTGGGTGCCACGTTTTAGGAAGATCATCAGTAAGTCAGAGATTATCTCCGAAGCTAACCAGAACAGTGAAGTGTCTCCAATCTCCGCCTGGTGAGGCCTAAGTGGAGACTTTTAGCAGAGAGAAGATAAGGCTCTTGAGGTCATGACAGCTGCCTTCAATTGACTGAAAGACTGCCACTTAAAAAAGGAATCAAGCTTGATCAATGTGCAGAAATTTCAAAGTGACAAATTTAGGCTTGATATAAGGACAAAAGTCTTAACAGTCAGCTCTATTCAAAAGTGGAGGACATTAGGAAAAGGGCGTTGTAGTAGGGATTCTTTTTCAAGGGTAGGCTGGCCTAGGCGGCCTCAGAGGGACTTTCCAGCACTGCACCTGGGGAATGGTTCCTCCCTTCTTTTGTATTTAAAGGTCTTCCTCTTGGTCACTTGGGCAGAATTTGTTGTTTCTGAATTGAATTGTTAAATTTAGGCCTATGTGTCTTGAGGTTTGCAGGCTTGAGGCTTTTTTCTGGAGACAATCTATGCATTCTTTTTTTTTTTTTTTACTTAATAGTATTTTTTTTTCCAATCGCATATAATGATAATTTTCAACATTCATTTTCGTAAGATTTTGAGCTCCAAATTTTTCTCCTCCCCCCCTTCCCTCCCCCCTCCCCAAGACAGCTAACAATCTGATATGGGTTATACATGTACAATCATGTTAAATATATTTCCACATTAGTTACATCGTAAAAAAAGAATCAGAACGAAAGTAAAAAACTATGAAAGAAAAAAAGGGGGGGGGGAATAGCATGCTTCGATGTGCATTCAAACTCCATAGTTCTTTCTCTGGATATGGATAGCATTTTCCATTACAAATCTTTGGGAATTGTCTTGGATCACTGCATTGCTGAGAAGAGCTAAGTCTATCACAGTTAACCACTGCACAATGTTGCTGTGTACAATGTTCTCCTGGTTCTGCTCACTTCACTCAGAATCGGTTCATGTAAGTCGTTCCAGTCTTTTCTGAAATCTGCCTGTTCATCATTTCTTATAGCACAATAGTATTCCACTGCATTCATTATACCACAACTTGCTCAGCCAATCCCCAATTGATGGGCATCCTCTCAATTTCCAATTCTTTGCCACCACAAAAAGAGCTGCTATAAGTATTTTTGTACACGTGGGTCCTTTTCCTGTTTTCATGATCTCGTTGGGATACAGCCTTAGCAGTGGTACTGCCAGTATGCATTTTTTCAATTGCTTTTCCTTTTCTGTATTCAAAAGTTCTGGACATTTTTTCTTGCATGATGGTTTTCAGGTTTTTCAACTTGTGTTTTTCTAGGAGACCCACAATCCTTGAGTTGTCTCTAGGAGTCCTGTCTTTGAGGACGAGACAGTATGTTTTGCTTGAAATGAGAGTATTTTTTCTTTTAATGTTATTGTGTTGTGCTTTTCTCCTTCTGGACTGTTCTTCCCTTCTGTCTGGGAGCATTTCCAATCAGCTGTCCTCTCTTTTGTTTCTTTAGAGAGGCTTGCCACTGCAGACTCACATTCTTCTATTCTACCATTCATTTCTAATGTGTAGCCCACAAATGCTGCTCTCACAATTCTCATTTCTCTTTTTAATCTACTCAGAACAGCTTGGCATGGCTCCTCTTCTCCTCAAACTCCACATGGTCCTCTGTCTGGAGTGTGAAGTCATTTCCTTTGTTTTGCAGCAATTCTTCATAAAGCCCTGCATTCCTTTAGCAGATCAATACATGGACCACATTTCCTTCTGCTGCTGATGTTTTCCCTGTTGATTTATCTGCTTATGCTCAAAATCTTTAAGGTTTCTTTAGCCTCCTAAGACCTTTGGTAATTTCCTTCCTTTTTTCCTTATCTTTTTTCTTATTTTCCCCTACTGCTCATTTTCTTAATCTTTCCTGTCTGATGACGGGTTCTCTGGGGGCTGGATCTCAAAGCTCCTCAGCCTCCTCCTACACTGGCAAATCCAGGGTTCCTGGGTGTAGATCTCTGACCCAAGTGTCTTTTGGGGAATAGGACTGGCCCCACCTGG